AAAAAAAAAAAAAAAGAAAGAAACCTGCAGCCCACCATTACTTCCTTGAAGAAACTGACCAGCAAATGTTAAGGAGGAGTCAGAGACATGTAAAATACCTTGGAATAAATGGGAAGGTGAAAGAACTTTACTTTGGCTTACCACCGAAAGTCAGGTCAAGGGCTACCTCTGAAGCTTTTGCCTCCCACACTTTGGGAAACGCTGTAATTTCCCTTTCCCTTGAGACTGCTGAGGGGAAGCAAGAGCAGGCACTTTCAGTGATTACTCTCTTCAAATCGTAATTCTGAGACATAGAGGGCCTGGGATATAGCTCAGTGGCACAAGCGCCTGCCTGGCAAGCACGACGTCCTGTGTTTAATTCCCAGTACTAAAAAGAAGACATAGACATAAATGGTTTTTACATTTTTAAATAGGGAAAAATGATTTTTTTACTTTTTTTTTTTCTGAGATAGAGGTCTCGCTATGCAGTTCTGGCCCTGAGCTCACTTTGTAGCCCAGGCTGGTCTCGAACTCATGGTGATCCTCCTGCCTCAGCCTCCCAAGTGCTGGGATTACAGGCATGAGCCACCATGCCCGGCTTGGAAAAAATTAAAAGAAGAATATTTTATAATATGAGAAAATGATATAAAATTCAAATTTCAGCATTCATAAAGTCCTGTTAGGACACAGTGGAACACAGTTACTCGTGTATTCTTTCTGGCTGCTTTGTTGCTATGATAGCAGAGGTGATTATGATAGAGACTATAGAGTTCACAAAGTCTAAAATGCTACGCTTAGACTGGATCCCTTTATGGAAAAAGTTTGCCAACCCCTAACATAAAGTATGGACTTCATTAGAGACTTTTTTTAAAAGGATCTAGGACCCCTCGGGGTTTCACAGGCAGGCTTTGGCAGGCGTGAGACATGGGATGAATGCCTTGGTATACCAACGCATTTTGCTAGGGAGAGTCCCAGGGAATTCCAGCTCTGGAAATCCCAGAACTGTCTTCTGTGCAGGTAAAGAGCGTAGCACACATCTAAGCTGACAGTTCCTGCTTCTCTTATATTTCCTGCTGTTTGGTTTTCAAAGGTCAGATGATTAAATTGCATAGAAAATTTGTTCTATACTCAGCGATATTCTCACATTTAGATATTAAAACACGACTCTAGGGGAAGTCCCTTCAGGCATGCAAGGGAAGGTACGTAAGTGTGTAGCAGCTGTGTGTGTATCGGAGACACTCTTCGCTTTGTTTTGTGATGTGTCAGCCCTAGTTTGGAATTGAGCAATTGTGGTTCTTGAGTTATAGCTCATCTTGTTTGTTTTCTAGGGGATCAGAAAGAGGATCAAATAACTTTGTTTTTTGTATGATTCTGACTGATCACCCAGTGTTTCTCAGTTGGACCTAAAAAGACATTTTTCATTCAGGCATTTCAGTCAGGAGAATCACTATTCCCAAACTGAAATGTGAGTGAATACGAAGAGTCATCACAAAATGTTTCCCCACCTTTTACAGTCCTGTGCCAATGGTGTAGCCATCAGAGCCTGGCTGTGGGCCTGGACAGGCCTTTGCTTCAAATCCCAATTATTTCATTTTCTTGAAATGAAACATGCAAGTAAGAAAAAAAAAAGAGAAACAAGCAAGTATATGCTGCGGCGGGGAGGCAGGTGATACTTGTAAACAAAGAAATATGAAAATCCTACCAGAGGGTGGACAGAGTTAAGAAGGAGTAAGAAAAAAAGAAAAAAGGAAAAAAAAGAAGGAGTAAGAGCAGGAGGGTGGATCCAGAGTCCTGGGCTGGCCTGGAGTGTTCATGTTCCTGTAGCGAGGGCCGTCAGGAAAGGCCTCTGCAGGCGTAGGATTCAATCAGGTGGAGATAAACATGGAGGAAACCCAGGGGAGGTCATGGAAGCAGAAGAAATAACTAGGGGAAAATTCCAGAGGAGGAGTGAATTTGTTGTGTCTAAAGGACATCTGGAGACCACCACGACTGGAATGGATGCCTGGGTACGGAGAGAAGAGAGAGGAGGCCTCCAGGTTGCCTGTGCATTCAAAACAAGGGGAGTGTTGGACTAATGGGAAGTCCCTGCAGGAAGTGACAGGCCTTGGTTAATGCTTGAAAAATATCCCCTTCGTAACTTGGCAGAAGGGGTGTGAGAGGGAAGCCCAGGCAGTTTGCTAGACTGAGCGCAGCCGTGCTGGTGAGAGATGGGCTGGGAAGGGGGAGAGCGGCGTGTTCTGCTCAGGCGGTCCGCAGAGCTTCCAGGGCTTGATCCTGAGCTGGGGGTGGGAAAGGAAAGGAGTTGACTCCATAATTTCCACCCATTGTGCTCCATTTACTGGGGACATCACAGTGAAAAGGGCAGATTTGGGCCTGGCTTGGGCAAAGTGGGGGGTGGGGTTCTCAGTGGTAGATCGTGCTAGGAAAGAAAAAGTGTACCAATCCTGATCTAGGAGAGAATTTTCTTGCGTCAGACATAATCTTCTCTGGGAAGAAATTTGCTTTTCTGTTAAACATCTCGAAGTGATTGATGACTTTTAAAGGCCTTGAAGCTTACCCAGGAAATCAAGTGCCTACCCACTCTGTGTCAGGCTATAGCGTCCTGCTTTTTTTTTTTTTTTTTTTTTTTTTTTTTTTTTTTTTGAGACAGGGTCACACTTTGCAGTCAGGCTGGCCTTGAGCTCACTTTGTAGCCCACGCTGGTCTCGAATTCGCAATGATCCTCCTGCCTCAGCCTCCCAAGTGCTGGGATTTCAGGCGTGTGCCACCACACCCGGCTGTCCTGCTTTTTAACTGTTGTTTTTTCTTTTTCCTCTGGTCTTTCCTTATAAAATGTCTTTGCCAAGAATAAATCTTTGCCTTGATGTAGTAGCAACCTTTCCCCAATATGTGATAAATTTTGACATGTGCTCATGACTAAATAGTCCAAAGAATTTATTTTGGAAAAAATGGTTCATAGACATATCCCATAAGAAAACAAGAGAATTAAAACAAAAAACATAAATGTTCAGTGTTACAAGGGGGGCACCAATATATGGCACCAGGCAGGGCTTGGTAGTGCACACCTCTAATCCCAGCACTCAGGAAGCTGTTACAGGAGGATCATTGTGACTTTGAGGCCAGCCTGGGCTTCATAACAAGACCCATCTTGAAATAAAACAAAACAGAAATTGGCACCAGAATTACTAAAATAAAATTCATTGACAATACATTTCACTAGCGATTGCTAAACTTGGGCTCTGTGAGATTATCATAGATGTACCCAAAAGGTTCTTCATGAAGATTGCTTCAGAGTCAAAAATAGGAAGAAGTCACTTGCCTGCTATTCCTGGGATTCTAGATTCCATCCCTAGCACTGCAAATAAAAATTTGAAAAGGAAGAATTTTTTTTTCAAAAGAGAAAGAATTCAGTGTTTTTTTTTGTAGTCAATGTCAAGTGAGTGTCTACCTGGGTTTTGCTTCTGCTCAGAATGAGCATGCTCTGTATAGAGTGTCTTGATCTTAGAGATATACATTATTTTTTTATCTTAAGAACTTTAAGAACCCATGGCTGGGGATGTAGCTCAGTGGCACAAGTGCCTGCCTGGCAAGCACAAGGTCCTGAGTTTGATTCCTGGTACCAAAAAAAAAAAAGAACTTTAAGAACCCAAATACATCATCTTGGTTTTTTTTTTAAGAGGTAAATAAACTGAAGTCCAGAGAGGTTAAATGATTGTGTGGAGGTGGGCATGGTGGTGCAGGCCTGTAATCCCAGCACTCGGGAGGCTGAGGCAGAAGGATCGTTGAGAGTTTGAGACCAGCCTGGGCTACAAAGTGAGCTCAAGGCCAGCCTGAACTGCCTAGCGAGACCCTGTCTCAAAAAGACAAAAAATTAATAAATAAAAAAATGATTGTGTGGTGCTGCACAGCCATATAAAGATGTGAAGTTAGGCCCTTGGAAATCCTTTCATTAACTCATGCAAACCTATGCCTGTGTTCTCGAAGTCGGCACTTGTGTTCTTTGTTAGTAAGTGATTTGTATTTTACATGGCATTTCTTTCTTTTTGTTGCGGGGGTGGGGGTGTGGTACCGGGAATTGAACTCAGGACCTTGAGCTTAAATGGCATTTCAATGAGTAAAATAAACTTTTCTCTTTCTCTCCTTTTTTAAATCATCGTGCAGTTTCCCTTTCAAGACAATCTCTTTCAATCCATGTACTACCCTCTCCAGCTGAAGTTTTTGGAAACTGTGCACACTCTTTGTGGACGAATCCCACAAGTTTTCCTGAAGCAAATTGAGAAAACAATGAGAAGGGCCTATGAGAAACACGTCATCATCCATGTTGGCCCCAACTACATGCACTGAATATGTTGTCTAGTCGCAAACCAATTAGACATCTTGTGACCAAGGAAACAATCTTTATGCAGCCTGGATCTTTTTATGTGACTATTTAATGGTGTTCCATGACTATTGAGTTTTAAAAGCCTTGTTAAATTTTACTAAATTAGTTGCCTCTAAAAGAGAATATGCTTTTCTTTCATTTTTTTCTGAAATCTTACTTATTTCTGTTTTAGAAAAAAATTAAAGAACCTATTATTATGCAATTAACATTGCTCCAGCAGGATAAGCTCACAGTGAGAAGGAAATTTTGAGAGCCTTTCAACCTATTCAGTGTTTGGACCATTTCATTGGTGTCCACAGTGTTATATTTATCTAGCATTACTGAGACTTTCTATGCTATTGGTTCCCTCCCACCCTGTATCAATACATATAGGTCAGGGGCAAAAATCAAGATTAGATCAATCATAATTCTACCAACCTGTGGAGAAGATTATTACTATTTTACTGTATTTCCTTCCACCACCACCCTTTTCTCCTACTTCTTTTAGTATATGTGCTGCCGAAGCAAGCACTTCTCCTACTTCTGTGTCTCCTATTATAACACATATTTTTTTATTTAAAAAAATAAAAGAACAAAAACATATTAGCAAACAGGCATCTATTTACAAAATATGGCCAGGGATATAGCTCAGTGGCATAAGCGCCTGCCTGGCAAGCGCAAGGTCCTGAGTTTGATTCCTGGTACAAAAAAAAAAAAAAAATGAAGCACTCCCATTTACAAAATAGCACAAGAACAATACAAGCAATACTGAATTACAGACAAGGTGACAGGAAATTAACAATGGTTGCTGTATTACATATTGATAACTTCAAAGTGGTTACTCAGGAAAACAAATATAGACATGCAAGACTGATCAAATAATTAATCATTAACTGTTCCTTTCAATAAAGTGATAGAAGTCAGTAATACAACTATGTTAGCTATCCTGTATATACATGTATATGCTGAAAACAGGCAGTCTCAGTAAAAATATGCCCCAACACTAAGATTTTTCTTATGAGGAGATTAAAAAGTTTCACAAGATGATTATGTTTGCAGTATTTTACCTACAGTACATCTGGAACAAGCATTCAGATTTCATCTAATTGTTAAAACCTAAAGCATGTATCTGAGGGCATTTCTTAAGAAGATTGTTTAGATTCATGGAGGACTAAGCCGTAAGAAACTTCAGTGCAACAATAACATCTGAAAGGAAACGTCAATAATTTTATCAAGTCCAAGACATTTCTTTGGCAAAGAGATGTGATTTTATGTTTGTCCTCACACAAAAATCCTTGATCTCTTAAGTCCTTGCTATGTGTGATCATTTCTCTTCTTTAATTATATATGCTGCTGAGGTGAGCCCTCATTTCTCTTCTTTGAACTCTTAGGCAAAATCTAAAGGCCAGTTTCAGATTTAACATGTTCAAAGTAAATAATATAGCTAATTCCATTGGCAAGAGAATTCAGTGTCTTACCAGTCTTAGAAAGGTCTCTTTCCTCTAGGAGCTGTTAGCCAAGAAACCTTTCAGGTCTTATCACCTAGCGACAGTAGAGGAAGTTCTATATTCTAGTCCCCAAAGGGACCTGACTTAATCCCTGCTTGCTCAGAAGGTTGGTATCAGCATAGGGGCATTTTGCATAGTTTATTTATGTTAAATTACTTTTGCATAAATGACCTCTTTGATGTTTCCAACAACCTGGTGAACTTAGTTTGGATCTATATCATCTCCATTAGGTAAATAAGGAAATTGTGATGTAAATTATAAAGAACTGAACACATTCTATCATTGCCTTCCAACTTCTTTCTTTCTTTCTTTCTTTCTTTCTTCCTTCCTTCCTTCCTTCCTTCCTTCCTTCCTTCCTTCTTTCTTTTCCTTTCCTTTCCTTTCCTTTCCTTTCCTTTCCTTTCCTTTCCTTTCCTTTCTTTCCTTCCTTCCTTCCTTCCTTCTTTCTTTCTTTTC